GATGATGATGATGATGATGATGATGATGATGATGATGATGATGATGATGATGATGATGATGATGATGATGATGATGATGATGATGATGATGATGATGATGATGATGATGATGCGACCGCGAAAGATCGAGTGAAAACAGGTTTCTCAGCCCTCACTTCACACCCCAGTCCGCTTCACCGGTCCCGCCGTTACCGAACCCGCGTCACCACGGGCGCGCGCGCGCGTGTTGCCACGCGACGCGCGTGACGAGACCGTGGACGAAGAGAGCGACGTGGTTCGTTCAAGAGAGCGACGTGCAAAAAAATCGAAGCGAGCTGCTTCCAATGTCTAAAAAATTGGTTGATCTGACCTGGTGTAGTGTAAAATCCGTTGTAATACAATGATTGTGAGGGCTTCAGGCTATTCTTGGTGGTTAAAAAGCCTATAGGGCAACCTTGGTGGATACGAGTATCAGGAGACATGGAGTAGAACCTGATTCAGGATGCTCCAAAAACACCGCCCCCCAAAAAAATTAGTCTTCTCTTGGTCTTCATCCCAAGCGGCTGAGAGCCGTCGATCAACAGATGCCCCGTCACCAAGGGGAACATCACCTCGCAAACCGCTCGGATCACTTGTGGCGCGTAGTCACCTCAGAGACGGCTGCCACATCGGCTGCCACATCGGTTTCAGGAGGTCCCAAAACTGTGCTACGCAACTGTGCTAGGCTCCACTTCTGCCATGTAGACTCTTAACATGATCTTTCAAACCCCCATCCGAAGTGGTTTTGCAATCCATGTCTGGCTGTGTGTGTGTATCAGCCGTGGCAGCCCCCTTCTTCGAGTCGAGACACCGATGAAGCCAGGGACATAGGTGGCGTACAAGTCGATCCGTGAATGGTGAGAGATGATCAACGGGATGCCCAGCCACCAGAGGAAGGGCACCACAAAGAAGGCACCTAAATCGCACAAAAAAAGGCTGCCAGAGCCACGAAAAAAGGCTGGGCTGCCATGGTCACCATGGACCCCTGAAACCCAGCCACAAGACGTCACTTCTTTGTTGGTAGGAAAAGATCATTTATTTGTCAGTGCTTGATAGTTTCAAAAGGTTTCAACTAGTACATCACTTGGGGTCGAGGTAAATGTTTGACACATGTCGAAGGGTCCACATGGAACTCACCACCGATTCCTCTGCCATTCAACAGCGCGCGAAAAAAGGGTGTGGACGAGCCCTACCGAAGAGCGCTGAGTGATAAGGAAGAGGTTTACAAACGGAGGGAGATGAACTTCTCTTGGGGATGTGTTAGGCAAAACATGTAAAGACCCGGATAGCTTGGTCGACCTACAGAAAAAAAGGTATATATGAAACAGATTGGAGAAGTGGCTGATTTAGACACACAGAAACACTTGAAACCTTCAAACCAAAGAACCTTCTGGCCCATTCTGGCCCCTCATCCCTTTCTCCCAGAAGCCACTGACTGGTTTCTCAGTGTGACCGGCTGGTGTGACCGATGGTATTGGCGAAAGCTAGTGAAAACCAAGCGACCCTGGCGCAGTGGACCATCCGAATCGGATGGTCTGGTCTTTGGACCCTTAGGGTGGAGTTGTTTCTGCCCAAACGCTCCCTTCACAGCTTCTCACAGTGAAGCTCCCTGTTTACAACCGGTCAGCATGCGACAGCACGGCCAGTTGACGTGACATGCCCAACTTGGCAACCTGAGATTGCCTCTCACAGTCCCAAGCTATGAAATCGGGAGGGATGATCAGTTTAGAAACCCCCCCCAAAGCCGAGGGTCGAGGGTCGCAGTTCGCTGGAGATCAAAGGTGTGGTGAGAGTGTTTCTCTTCCAAAAGAACTGGACCTCGCTTTTTTCCTCACAGCCCCTCACGTTGGTTGGTCCATCCTCTCCTCTCACGTGCCTGTCATGGTGACAGCCACTCGATTCGTCTATATTCCGCTTCCGTCTAGCGATGAACTACTTGTGGAAGGTCGGTGGATCTCTTCGGAGGTCGGTCAGACTCCAAGGCGCACGGTGTAAAATCAAAGAACTGGATCACATGAGGGCGAAAGCCTCGAGCTCACTCACGCAAGGCGTGATTCGGTTTCCGTTCACCAGAAAAAAAAAGAACGTTTCCTCGACGAAAACGACGTTTTGGGAGCTCATGTCCAGGCAATGCTCAATCGAAATCTCGGTGCTTTTCCCCCGAACAGATCAGGTGGTTCACATAGTTGACACCCAAAACGTTCGTTGCGCACTTCGATGCAAGCACTTCAGGCATGCATGGAATCTCAAGGAAAAAGACCCGGAACCGAGCCCAGCTTCTTTCTGCATGTTGGCAGGTTCTAATACACTCCCGAAAACTAACATAGACCCTGACAATGGTCCCATCAAAGACTATTTTCCTCTACCAACTGTCTTACATGGCCTTGTCCGAAGCTGGGCAATCCGGGAACAGTTTGTAACTCAGGAGGCTCAGCATTTCAATGCATAAGGCCAGTCTTGAAATAGGGCGACCCCCTATCTTAAACAGAAGGAAAAATGCACGACCAAACTGACCAAAAGCCGTTGGGCCAAGGGAGCTTCCTTAAACATCTATTAACTAAATTACAATGAATTAAGAATAATGAATTAAGAATACACTTCAATCAATGTACACATAAATATCAGATTATATAACAATTAATTTAAAAAAAAAAAAAAAAAAACATATAAAATCCAATATCATTGGACTCCCTCTTTTTCACTCCCTGGCGTTCTCCAACAAACACCGGTCCCATCGAGGACCGAGGAGCGCATCAAGGAGAGCACGAAGTGCGGCGAGGGCCTGGGAGGTGCCGCATCGGGTGGCATGGAGCCGATCGATGGCCCTAATGAATTAGATGGAAAAGCACCCCAAGCCACCACTTGTATGGCCATACTGGCACACCTGAAATGTCTGCGGTAATCTAAATACAGTTGATGGCCTTTAGCCTCCCGGAATGGAGATGTGACTTGCTGCTTTGTTCACCCACCCGATCCCTCCCGGCCGACCCCGAAAAAATAACCGCGCCAAGCTGCAAGGTGATCTTGTGCTTCCTGGGCAACGGCGAGCCCCACATGCTTTTTCAAGAAACACCGCCTAAAAGGCGTGAAGCTGCCCCCCCCCCTCAACATGTCACCCGGTCTGCCATTGTCATGCACTCAGCCGCTGGGCCGGGCCGGGCCTAGCAGCTAACCGCTGGAACATGTTCCAGGGATCAGTGGGATCCGATCGAGCAATGGCCAAAAGCTTTTTGTCGCTTTACACCTGGACCCCCAGTCGGGGTGGTGAATGCACTCTAAGAGGCTACACCCGAAATCCGTGGTGCTGGCAGGTTGGATGATTTCAATGAAATGGTTCCTCTCACATCCAGATTTGCGCACAAACCCTTTAGGTCGTTGCTCAGTTCGCATCCTGCAAAGCCACTTCGTCTGCCAAGCCTCGGCTGCACTTCCACCCCGGGCCCCCGCGTCACGGTAGCGCCGAAGCTTTCGGGAGCCAAATGCGTCGTGCTCGTGCCGTTGCTGCAGAAGACGTGCACCTGGTGTCCGTCACGAACCAAGGCCTGAGTCAGAGGAAGGCTGCAGAGTGCTGCAGAGTGCTGGGCGAGTGCTGGGCGAGCGAACTTTTTGTGAACTCTCGATGTGATGTCAGGGTCTTGCGACTCTTGCGAGCCAGCCTTTTTGCAGCGGAGGTAGTAGTATTAAGACAAGAGATGACAAGAGTACATTCCTAGCCTTCAATCACCATTACACTCCCTGAAACTAACATGGAAGTGGAGAATGGCCCCTTAGAAGACCATGAAATCCACTACAAACAGGTGGTGCCATCCACTTCCAAGTTCCGGGGAGAGTAAACAAATTGGTTGACCTTGCATTGCAGTCTGAAAGCTCCAAAATGGGGCGCCCATCCTGGTCCACCTGGTGTGCTCGCACGACCCCCCGATGCGAGCTGCCCCGATCTGTGGCCACCACCCCGGAGCATGTTCAAACGAATGGGATCCCTTTCTGCAACGCCTGGGGTTATGAACCAGACACTCCAAGTATGGAATATGATGGAATGTATGTATGTATTGTATGCACATCCATTATAGAAGAAATTGTTTGTGCCAATCTTCTTTTTGAAGGGTATGGAAATGTGCCGCCGGGAGGGTTTCAAATAGAAGTGTGCCAGGTGGAAAAGAAAGTCCCGGGCACAACGTTGACGAAAATCAAGAGAGGCCAAACCCCGAGCCACTTCAAATAGAAGAGGCAAAGAAGAGTAAAAGAAGAGCAGGGAAGTGTGGGGAAAGGGAGAAAGGGAAAGGGAGAAAGGGGAAGGGAGAAGGGAAGGGGAAGGAGCCAGAAGGGAAGGGAAGGCAGCTGCCGGAACAATACTTGAGCAGCCACGAAAATGATTGCGGGAGTATCTATTTTGCGTTTCTCTTCTCCCGCAGGGAGAGAGAGAGAGAGAGAGAGAAAAAAAAAGAGAGAGAGAGAGAGTGTGAGTGAGAAACAAGACGAAGCGGGCTCATGTGTATTTTGCGCCAAAAATGTGTTCTTCTATTTGAAGACTTGGATGTGGGACCCCTTATCTTGAGATATGTCTTCTATTTGTCCCGGAACCCGGCTACGGGAGGAATATGCAGCCTTCTATTTGATATGTTTTAATATCTTCTATAATAGTTACTTTCCCATACTAAATTATTATATGATAATATGCATATTATAACTATGTTCTTTTTTTGACTCCAAAATCATCCGTAACTGATCGGCTAATATGGCGGTCCCCAAGATCTAACAAGCAGAAATTGCCCTGTCCAACAGTTTGTCTCTCAAGGGCTTTTGGCTCAATGTTCAAGGCCGTTTGAAGTGGCCCTCATGGCTTTCCATCATGTAACATAAGTTATACAACTCCAAAATGGCCATACACATCCACTCCGGACCATCGCCGCACAAAAAATAAACAATTCCAGCAGGTTGGTGTTCGTTTTTCGAGAGTTCAAGAACCATTGGGCGAAAACACTGTCGATAGCAATCCCAAAACACATAGAGATCATTGGAAACCTCTTTGTTGGGTGGACCAAAGCAAGAGATACTACACTATACTTACTGAGTACCCTTCGTCCCAAAACACATGCAGCCTGGCCTGGATGGTGTTTCGCGCAAAGTTCTGGACACCATCCAACTTCGGTGGGAACGAATCTCCCGACAGCAGCACGCGCATGGGCTGGTCCGCTCGGGGGCAACCTGGACGCTTCACCGCAGCGCACACACCACGTCGGACAAAAAGAGTAAGGGATCCGGATCAAACTGCTCCATACTTGTAGGTGCGACGAGACGACATGAGGTTGGCTGGAGTGCCCCGAATCTCTCAGACGAACATCATCCCACCGGACACCCGTTCCGCCCAACGAACCGAAAACCCGTGCGCGTCGCACGTCGCACGGTGCTGACCTGCCCAGCAGAGCTTTAAGAGACCAAGCCGGAAGAGCTTCTGGACCAAGACCACAGCAGTGGCCTGACAGAAGGGGATGCGATAAGGGGATGCATAATGATGCACATATGTCCACTGAACACACACGACTGCTTATTGAATCAAGTGCTCAAAGGTTTTGTCAATCCATGTCTGGGGAGGTTGTGAATCAAGATTCCAAACATTTGAGTTCAAAAGGAGCGGAATTGGGAGGAAGAGTTCTTCACAGCTTTGATTTAAAATCGACCCAAACACAAAAAGGAACACTGCTCAGCAAAACTCAACTTTTGGTCTTAGATCGATGAGTCAACAAAAAGGGTATCCACTCCCCAAGACTCTTGATTTTCCTATCTACCTTGGAGGGCGTTCAACCTGATCTGGGACGACAAGCTGCTCTCCAGCTTCTACACCAAACTAGTCCACCCAGGATCCGACATTCAGAGGTATACCGGTATATATACAGTATCTATAAGCACCTAAGAGCGATGGCCTCCACCCTAATAGCAATGGCCAGCGAAGCTAATAGCGATGGCTATGTAAAAGCACCTGAGGTCGAATCTGTTCTTCTCCAAAATAGCCCAATGCAGCACTGCACCTCCCCGAGACCCTTTGATCCCAAGCGGCATAAAGAAGGGCAGTTGGCCATCGAAACTGCAAGAGACAAGACAGGATAAGGATCGGCGTCACTGTATGCTTCCATTGCGCAAGCAAACGACTTGAACGGCTTCCATGAAGCAAGGCATCCTGCTTGCTTCGCACGCTTCGCACCTCTTCCAGCTGTCCTGAACAGGAGTTTCGCATGCTTCACTTCTCCCAAAAACGAAGCGATTCCCTCCGTGTCCTTGGAAAAAATAGAAATATTATATATATATATACCAGGACCATCCAAGGGGTGTCCAATGGACTACCCCACACTACCTATAGGCTTCCAAACAGGGCACCCCTTGGATGGTCCAGATATATATATATATACAATATATAAATTAACCATAATCCTTTTCCCACCTGTTGGATGTTGGCGTTTCACCCAGCTTTTGCTCGGTCGATCTCGGATCCTGGAGACTGGCCCCAACGGGTCGGCCATCGCCAGACTGAGAGCGTCACACCCCGTGGACCCGCAAAAGGGAAAACGATGCAGCCAAGAGTGTTTGCACCGCTCATGGGGCCAGACATATCTGCAAAAACATGAAGAAACTGGTTACATGTCTCGGCCTACCTGTGGGGGGTTCGCCCATAGAACTAGAATGTGTGTCTCTTTGCATGCCACCTTCTTTGGAGGGTTTTCATGTGTTCTTGCATTTCCTCCAGCTTTGTGGCTTCAGACCGCGCTGTGATCTTCATCCTTCAGCGCTGCGGCTATCGATCTGGTCATGCCAGTAAGAGAACTCCCCTTTTTCTGGATGGTCTTTAAACTAGCTCAGAGGGACTTCATCTAACGGCCCTACCGACCTTTCGCCTCCATGGAGCTTGTGGAGAACAGATGGGTTCCCCCCTGCTTCCACCAGAACAACCTGGAACCTTAGTGATCATCGTCACCCCTCTCGCTGGTGTAGCAAAACACCTCCCGAAAACCGGTGTTAGCGCCACACGGAGCGTCGCTGGGCTATGGTCACCGCAATGACGCAGGCGATCAGGACGCCCAGGGCTGTGGCCAAGTCGGAGAAGGGCACCCCGAGGTGTGCGTGCACCACCTCAGGGCGAGATGCAAGCACCGAAAGTGGGAGAAGAAGAAGAGCAAGAAGAAGAAAAATAATAATAAGAAGAAGAAGAAGAGCAAAGAAGAAGACGAAGGAAGTCCCTCGCTTGAAAGTTCTGCCATCCTGCGGGGTCATCTGCTTTAAACTCATGAACATCCCTTACCATGCTGTTTTCCTTGGCAGAACAGTTTAAGATGTCAAGGATCTTCCGAATCTTCCCATGTGCACGAATCGAAATGATATGTGTTTTTCGGTCCCGTCCAAGTGGTCTTACTCTCGGACCCAAACAGATCAGGGGCGATGGTGGGCACACCCGTCGTCTTTGTGGCTTGGTGGGCACTGAGGGGTGACCTGGTGACCAGTTGGATTCTGGGCCGAGTTGGATGGCCCGAGTGGCTCGATTTGGAAGAAGGACACGCACCGACAACATCCAGAGGGTGATCACGTCAATTGTCAAATACATGGAACCCTCGCAGGTCACTTGGAACCTGAAAATTGCAAACATTTCAGGAGTCCTTGGACCCGCAGTAGTAGTAGTAGGGCTTGAAATATCCACCCGGAAAGCAGGATGGGTCGACCCAAAAGTCCAATATCAACAGGGTCCACCGTCTTTCCCCCTGTTTCAGACTCTGAAGAAGCGAAGGAAGCTGGATTTCGCCACGCCACGATACCTTTCCATCCCACCCCACGGCTCACAGTCCATGGGCTGCGTGTGTTTCCCCTAAGCAAGTTTCAAGCTGTGTCAGGTCTCCCCGTTTCAATCACCCCCAAGCAGCGCTAGCTGCGCCATGATTGGATCGACCAAGCCGCATAGATGGACAAGAGCCCACAGCCATAGACGGTGCCCAAGACCGCCAAGACCACCAAGGGCGCCGCATAAAGCTGGCTGTTCTTGGTGAAGCACACCGCCAGCATCCCCAGCCAAAGCAACGGGTAGCAGACCTGTCGTGGTGCTTTTCTCAGCCAAGAGTTTTTGTTGGAACTGTGCTTCTTGCGGTAAAGACATGTAAATACAGAATGGTGTCCTTGCCAGTGGCTGGCACTGGCTCTTCCCGAAACCGGCGGATGGCTGTTTTTTGTTGAGTTACCCAGCCAGAAACGATGATAAACATATCAAAAAAAACATGAAGAAGCGCATCTCGGACAAAAGCAAAACCACAACACTTGCTGCCCCTCATGACCCAGTCCTTTTGCCCCAGGATGGTGGGTACAGTAAGTGCAACACCCTGTGACAAAAGCAAAGTCGCAACCCGAAGTTTGCTCGCGGATTTGGAAAAAAATGTTGTATGTGACTACTAGTAACAAGAAGCTACTAGTAGCGATGCCCTTGTAACTAGTAGCTTCTCTTGTTACTAGTAGTAATGCCCTTGTTACTAGTAGCGGTGCAAGCTTCTTCTTGCTAGTAGTGATGCCCTTGTTACTAGCAGCAATGCACTTGCCACTAGTAGTGATGCCCCTGTTGCTAGTAGCTTCTTGCTCACAAAGCTATCATCTGGATTTCGACTGAACGGCCCCTTTGGTCTGTGCAGTATCAGCCTTCCTGGCGTCGTTTCGACGGGAAGACGTGCCATTGGTGCTCAGAAGGTGCGTCCCACTTGTTTTGCAGCAGCTTGTATCAGCTTAAAAATACTAGAAAAACACCTGCCAGGACCCCCCCCCAAAAAAAAAACAGTAAGAAGGTGTCTGTATTCTCATAGGGTGTCCTGGCTCACCATGCCTCTCCTGGCGCTCGTCGATGTTTGTTCCCCCTTCGATGCCCAGGCGCTGCAGCAGCGAGTCCGAAGGCGCTCAGGATGGCCTCGGACGGTGGGTGACGTGGCGACGCTTGGGGGGGTGGGGAGAGGCAGGTCCCAGGCGTGGGGTGACCAGTGGTTCCAAAGACGAGCATCATAGATCATCATACCCAAATGAAGCTCCTGGGATCCATGGTGAACTACCTGGGATCTATGGTTTGCTGGGATTTTCTGGGTTCGCCAAGGCGCAGCAGACACAAACTACCAGACCCCGTGTGGGGCAGCTTGGCCAGTTGTCCTCCATGTTGCCTCCCAAGTGCCCAAGTCCCATCACGTATACTTATGTCATGTTGATCCGTTTTGGCGGACGTCTGACGGGACTTCCAAAGATAGCGGGGGACGAACGCACAAAGGACTCCCGGAAGTGTCCGCCCCCGCACAACAAGACTCGGGGGGCTCCGTGGATGCTCTGGATGGACATTTATCTGTGTCAGATGGCGAGGACGCCCGACAGCCGGGAAGCAGCCGAACAGACGACATCAAACGTACCATGTCCATGGTCAACCTACCAGGGTGTAGGGCCTATAGGGTTTAGGGTCAAAAACCACAGGAACACTTTGGTGCACTAAATTTGACTCAAGAAAGCTGGCATCTGGTCGACAGTGCTTGCTGAAGGGGGATCATGCAACATCTTAGCAATGAAATGCGGTGGCCCATGATACATGTACACCTATCTGGAAACCTCCAAAAAGGTACACATTCCACACAAAATCAAATTTGGAGGAGTTGGATCAATTGGGCGAACTGGACACCCACGGGAACAAAGAAAATGCCTCCTCGCCGCGTCGTTTCCAGTTCTTCGTGTGAAATGGCCACCAACGCCCACCAACGCCCGTCCGTCCGCGCGCGCGCGCGCGTCCGCGCGGTCGTCCGGGTTCGCCGGGTCGATGGCCGAGTGATGTCGAGTGGCCATACACCTCATGGAGGTCCAAAGATCGTAAGGTCGAGTGGCCGTGAGCATCTGGAGGCGCAACCTATCCTCGGTCGTCCCAGAGACCACCGCGGGAGACTTCAGCAAACAGACGGTCAGGTCCATCGTTCGCTGTGAACGGTACCGAATCCGCCGAAGAATCGGACCCTGGAGCCGTTTCGTTTTGGAGCAGAAAAAGCTTCACCCATGGGTAGAACGACCGAACTCTCCAACCCGCACGTGCGTAGAACTGCGGTTTTGGAGCCGTGTTTCACCATGGTTCACCTCAACAAGGGTGACCGACTTTGGCTGATCCATGTTGGATCGACTTGTTCTGGAGTAGATAAAACGTTCACTGCAACCAAAGCTCCATCGCTTCACCCAAAAATCAGCTCAATGGGTCGATTGGAATTGGGAATGCTTTCCGGGTAGTACCCAGACTTTTGGGTGGATTTTGCAGCTCCGCCTGCGTCTTGGAGATCTCGATCGCGGTCCACAGCTGGGTGTGACTTCTTGTTCTGTCACGGGACACGTTTTGTTCCGTTCCTTCCAGGGAGTCTTTGAGAGGTGTCCCTATTCTAATGCACACCCATACCAACCACGAAGACCCACCAATCAGCACCCTCACCGGTCTTTGCGGATCGGAGGTGAGAAGAACACCAAAATCAGCCGCGATCCTAAACCGATCAGACGATGCTAGCCAGATGATTCAGGATGTTGCAGCACAGTTGAAGAGCTGTGTGGGTCACGAACTCTTGGAAAAAAACTGAGGGTGAATGTGTGTAAACCTACATGCAGACGGGTCGGTCATTGAAGGGTATCTAGCTTGCGTAACCACATGCACTGGGGAGCATCCACAACAAGCATCCAAAGTCATCCCAAGTCATGCCAACATGTTTGAAATCTCGCGGCCCAAACCCCAAAATCCACCGATGGTGCCCAATCCATTTGGAGCCACACCCGAATTTCTGGCCAACCGAGAGTCCTCCATCTGCTTCAACCCTGCCTGCCACATGCTGAGTTAGTTTTTTGTGCCGCTTCGCTGGATCTTTTTCGGGATCGGGGCGGCCTGGACGCCCAAAAAGAAGCCCAAACAGCTGCGGAGGCGGAACCGCGACAGGAATGGATGGTCAGCCTTTGTTCAGCAGCGTTAAAGGAGCCAGTGCATTGTTCCCAAAGGACGAAAGACTGGAACGAGAAGACCCTGCTTTGTAGTCTAAAATCCCTCAAACCGTCAATGGATGGTGGACTCGGGATGTCGGGCTCTAACCATGAATGCCATCGAACTCCAAGATCCATTCTAGATCACCATAGCCGTAGCATGCCGTAGCCATCATCCACACCTGACTGAACTGGAGGATCGGCCCCCCAACGGATCGACCCAATGGGGACTATGGTCCG